GTACCCTGTTGAGTTTCGAAAGGTAATGATAATACACAGCTTGTGCCGCTGCCTGTCCGTGCAGTTATACTGCCGTGAACGATAATAAAGTGAGTGTATAATAATATATTGCACGTAAGCACTTTATATATAAATTAATTTAAAAAAATATTTACGTAATACACACACACTTAAGTCGTAAGACTCAAGTCAACGTACCGAATATTCTCTATTCTTTATATTTCAATTTAATTAAAAATATAGGCTTTGTACAGATTTTGCGTTTGATGTCATAAACTCATTAGCGTCACCTAAGATAATGATTCATTTTATTTGATCGAAAATTCCGTTTAACAAAGATATTATTTTTAGTTTGACCTAATATATATAATATGCTGCTACCAAGTTATTTTTACAATTTTGTTTTACAGTTCAGATAATATATATTTATTTTTTCTCATATACTTTTTTATTGCATATATACACACAGATACTATTTACGAAAGATAAATATTTGAAAAAGAATATTATCTCAATTATGAAAATTGTTCTCTCTTATATTTTTTATTGGATTATTCAATATTTAAAAACTGTCGTGACTTTAGATATTTTAGAGAACTTTTTATTCATTAAACTCGAGAATTATCTTAAATTATTGTATGGCAATTACAGTAATTGCAATAATCTTATGCAATTGCTATTTCACGTTAAATATTTTCATAAATTTCCGTGTTTCTCAGATATGAGTAGGAAATTGCTTACAACATTGTTCTCATAATATTATTCGGCGAATATTTTTTACATGTTTCCTCTTCGTTCCTTTTTCTCAATACCTCGGGAAAGCCGTCCGGGATCCCCCATTCTGCTTTCTTCCGGAGTGTCTACTGTCGTGTCGAACACGCGTCAGTGCTCACCGACAATGGGGTGTACCATCGGTTGTTTCACAAGTACACGTAGATTCACACTTGTGATAACAAGGAGAACTTCGCGTTTCCGCGTAAATTGACATTCGACATGCCTGAACTCTCGACTAACAGTTAAACATTAGAACTAGGGTGAATTACAGGAATTAGATAAATCATTTAATGTTATCTCTCACTGAGGTAGCGATCATATCGCTAAACGACGTTATCGCATATATTCCTTATAGAAATCAGTTACTGGCCAATTTAATCAGCGAAAATTACAACTAACTTCTAAAAGGCACTATTTGGAATACTGAATGCAAGTGAACTTTCGCAGCCTTGCGGCGATTGATAGAGAAAGGTGCAAAGCTTTTTTTTACTATTTAGAATCTCATAATACAGATAATTTTAGACAATCGTCTAAAATTGTTTGAGTTCAAATGATCTGTTACTGTTAAATATAGTGTAGTTAAGAGTTATAATATTGAAAACAACAGTATATAATTATTTTAAATATTAAAAACATTGTTGTTTAGTACTTTTAGTTAATTTTTAAAAAAGTAATTAATTACTTTCGGTAATATATAAATTGATAAATATTAAATTGGCCAGTGTTTAATTTCTATGACAATAAAATGCAGCCAAGAGTGCAGCACATGTTACTCGTTTTTTTCGAACAAGCTTTGTTCTTTTTTACATTAACGATATACATTTTGTTACTTTTACTTTTTCAAGGAACTGGGTTTTTTTTGCTCTTTTTTTTATGCAATTGTCTGACAATATAAGTGTAACTATATTATTCATCGTTAACGTAAAAAAAATTAGCGTTCATGTAAAAAATTGAATGACAAACGTCTGCTGCATTTTATTGTCCTAGAAATCTAATACTGGCTAATTTAATAACATTTGTTATTTTTAACTTCCATATGTGTCAAAATGTAAGTCAATCCATTTCTACAATTTCAAAGTAAACAGCATAAAGTTAATATATGCACTTAGTAAGTAATAAATTAAAAGTTAATCGAATTTAATACATTTCCTTGAGTTAAAACTTCCATTGTTTTAATCAAATTAACGACATATTGAGTAGGAGTAATATGGAGACCTATAGAAATGATTAAAAACAACTCAAATTATAGATATAATTTGACATTATGAATGTAACAATGTATGTCCATTGTTATTTTTTGTCGACAAAAATGGAAACGTCAGATTGTTTGTAGATAAATAGCTGGCCCAAATTTAATTATCCTCATTGGAGTTGGATTGTTACCAATAAACACTGTCGAAACGAGCTGCACATCGGTTTTGATATTGTCGAGCACGATAATATCGTTAGCATCGCATCATGTCGTTTATTCGAACGTGCAGCGCTTTCGGTGCATTTACCGCCCCGCTGATTTCTGAACAAAGACGAGTAGCCCCCGCGTGGATATAGCGTAATCGATTTATTAGTAGACTGATGGATTATAGCGCCATGGTAGAACTCTGAAAGAGAGACCCAGCGCGCGATATAACGTTATATTATCGCGAATCTGAATTGTACAGATTGCAGCAATATGAAATATAAACTATTAGCAAGGAGCTATAATCTAATAATATGATCATAACTCGAGTTAATGATATTTTTATCGGGAGGAAACACAGGTGCCACAGTTTATCACTCATGTAAAATAAATAGAACGTGATTTTTACGCCTTATCTCTCGCGTCGGGCAAGAAAGGTGGTGTTTCCGCGAGAATAAACGCGACAGTGGAAAAAAAAAAACAACATTTAGATTTATTCGTGCGTGACCATACGTCTCTAATGAGCGGCATGATTCTTTCGAACGAGTACTGAAGAACTTTGGCTTAACTGTTAACTGATTACTAGTGTATGTAATTACGGCACACCCATAAAAACTTCCGCCTTGCTCTCTTGAAATTATGTATCAACTAAGAGTATCATTCCTGTGTATACACATACATACACGCATACAGCGTGCGCACTTCTCTATTTTACATTCATTTATTTAACTAAGTATAAAGTTCTCCGTGTTAAATAATATACGTAGTACGTGTGTAATTTTTATCATATATAATATTTAATTAATATTGTACGCGTTACTTATTTTGCAAGTGGTTGTAATTACAAATTTTAACGAGCTAAGGAAACAATGTGAGGCGGGATAATTATTATTTATGAAGATTTACGAGAATTATACCATTTCCAAAATAAACCGCTTATATCGAGCATAATTAACACTCGATGCATCTCGATGCTAAACGTACAGAATAATCAGTATGACGATGGCGTATCGTTTCGATCATTAAGCATGGTTCTTCTCTTCTTAAAAATTCGTCATTACAAATTTTACGATTTATTGAATAACTTAACAATGCTTTTATGATGTGACGTCAATCGTCGATTACAATCGATTTACATTAAGTCCTCCACTTTCGTTGTAATTGTTCAGTTAAATTCTAATTTTATAATATTATCTCTCATTTAACGAATCAACTTGGCGAAAAAGGAAAATAAAAAATCCGTATACTTTCCTGTGCCAGCATTTTAGATTTTAAGTTCATTTTTTTGTATCAATAAAAAATGCATGCTCTTCACGAAGAGTTAGCTATCGTGACGTAGATAGTTTAATCGGAAAATTGAACTAAATTTACTTTTCCCGATTTATCTTTTTCGATATAATGTCTAACTTTGATCGTTAAATTTATTCACGAAGGGAGAAGAAGATGTAAAATTTAATCGGTGAATTAAATTCCAAACAATTTATCAATCTTTTCACGTTTCGTTAAATTTAATATCAAAACTATGAATTATATCGAGAAAAGCGAATTTTCAGAATTAATTCTTTAGCGTTTATATAATATATGTATATATATTCAGTGAAAATTGAAAATGGACAAAACTTTCCGTTACTATCGCATCCGCTAAGTTATTCTGTCTTGTTATAAAAATAGTCAGTCGGCGATACATCGTAATTATAGCACATTTTTCGTTGATTAGATAATTTCGAAGGAGCAATTGAAGTACCGTGGTTAGAGTTGAAGACGGTCGATTCTGCGAAACAATCTTGAGCAATTCCAGCAGTTCGGTCGTTGTCGCTCGCAAAGGTAAAGGCGCAAGGAGTAGCGCCACGCGACGAGCCGAGTAACGGGGTTGCTCTCGATTGTCCCCGCGATGGTTGCGCGGATGCATCCAGCGAGCGGACGAGCGGATACCGTTTGCTTCCGACGATAGTTTCTACAGCCATCATAAAATCACATCGCGCGCAAACAGCCAGGCTCTCTCGGATCAGAGAATTGTCCAGCTTCTTCCCTCCCCTTCCTCCTCTCTCTCTCTCTCCTCTCTTCCACTTGTTTCACTTGAACCTACTTTTTCTCCTCTTCTCCTTACACGTCCGTAGATTTTCTTCCCTTCTCCACATAACGATGTCTTCTAGTAAGGGGTTTCGCGAGAGAGACCAACGGTATACAAGCGGTGATCTTCTATGTACGGTTCCCTTCTCTCCCTTTGCCGGCGGCCCCGTTTCATTCCTTTTTGCTACTCCTTTTTCATTTCTTCCCTGCTCCACCTCTTCCTCCTCCTCCTCCTCCTCCTGCTCTGCTCCGTCTAGTTGGGTGCCGCCGCTGCGCCCGCTTCTTCTTCTTCTGCTCCTTTTCCGTAACGGTGACGCCGGCTTCCCGTTACGCGTCCAGCCTGAACCGTCCGAAGCGGCCTATTCCCTTCCAAGACGCGATGGGCTTCGTTGCATTATAGATGCTGAACGAATGAAGGAATGATGCTACTAATGTTGGATGGATGTCCCGTTTGTTCTCTCGGAAACGCGAGAGTCGTGGGGGAAATGCACGATGCTCACGCGAAATAATCTTTTCTTCGTTTAATACCTTTTGCGTTCCATCTCGCCTCATTAAAGGAACATGTGAAATAAAAGCCTAAACATAAAGCATATTCTATCGTAGTCACAAATAGTCTTACTAGCCTATTTGTCTTGCTACGATCAATTGAATCTGTTTTTATACATATAATTATATATAATAATTAATTTATATACATCAGTAGCTTCATTAAGGAAAGCAAAACAACACATTAATTTTTTTAATTCTTGTTTACTTACAGAACAGCATTACGCAGCAGCTGATTCCAACAGTTCGACGCCCGCTAAGAGCTTCGTACCCTGCAAGGTCTGCGGCGATAAGGCGAGCGGTTATCATTACGGCGTTACCAGCTGCGAAGGTTGCAAAGTAAGTATCGAAAATCCTATAATCGAAATGAAACAAGAAAGTAAGTTAATTAAAAACTAAAACGCAACATACAAGCTATAAATATCTACGAGCTTACGTCTATTTATATAATTTTTATATAATAATTATTGGAAGAAATAGTAAACGCTTCATCTTAATCTTTGATTGCTCATGCTAATAAATTTGCCATTAAAAAATCAATCTTTTAGACAACTATATTTAAAATTACATAAAACATGTAATTTTAATTTTAATCCGTTTCGTTCTGACTAGTTTCTAATCTTCAATTTGCAATCTTTAAATATCCAATGTGTAATATTATGTGATATAAGTTTAAAGTGATTGGAAAAAGAAGATTTGTTAAAATAACTTGAAACTTCACAGCAAATCATAAAGAACAATAGTTTTCTTTGTTGAAGTAACAAAGAAAAAAAGTTATACAACTGAACAAAAACGATTATAAGTAATCGTTTTTGTTGTAATAACACAGCAACTTTATTAATATAGCAAAAGATATAACTTTCTACGAAAATTAATCTAATATGTAGACCAAAATTTTTAACAAAACATACTGGATGACGCGTACTATAATGAAGAAAATTTGTTTAATTAGCAGTTTTCCTTGTAAGAAAGAAGATAAACTGAATTATGGCATGCTGATAATAGCTCGCGGACATAATTTCTTTGTTAAAAATCAACAAATCTTCTTAATTATAAATATTAAACTCGCGTAACTGTAGATATAGCTTTGTTGAACTATCCAATCTATTTTTTGCATGTATACGTTCGTTAGTTTTATAAATCCAATTTTATATGATTCGGAGAGTATTTGGGACCTCATTCCGCGCGGTTCACTATTGTAACAAGCTGAAAGAGAATTGTTCCACTCGCAGAAATATCAGAGAGTAGCTTAAGACGATGTATCGTTAGTTGCTCTTAGCTTCCGATATCTTGTAGAATATTCGCCGATCGGCTTGACCTCGCGGCGCAGCGGTGGGTCGAGTACAATTTACAACTCCAATCCGCAAGGATGCATGACGATCAGGTAATAGTCCGCGAAACGACTCGTTCGCACTTCGGGGCAGGATATTTATCGGTGCGCGCACTCACGTCTTAAGCATCGTGGGAGATGCACATCCGCCGCGAAACGCCCGTGCGCCGCTGCATGCCTGAGATTTCAAATGCGGAAGCCCTAAGGCCAGAGTTAACGGTGAATTGGTGCATTCTCTTATTCGCTAGCAGCTAGTTCTGCGGGCAAATGCACGTAGACACATATAAACATGATTCTGCCGTGGAAAGTTTGCCTAAAGTTAGCTGAAAGGTCCTCAAACACGATTCATTCTCATAAACGTAATAAGGATGAAGATGATTACGTATAGTTATACACGGGAGGACGGTTTTGCTGAAACATCTAAAAATTTAACTAGATAGAAACTTGAAAATAATTCCGTTGGATCCTCACAATAATTATGTGGCAAACTAGTTGTTGGAATGTTAAAGTTTTCGTAGCATTGCTCATCATCATTCAACTTCCTACACAGTTATTTTAATGATCTAACGAAATTACTTATATCTAGTTAAATTTTAAGATACTTCAGCAAAATTATTCTTTCCATGTATAAAATTGTCACTGTTGGTTTAAGAAGAGTGAAGTTGAATTACATATCGCGCGCTCTCTTTTTCTCTTTTCTAAAGTATCGAGTTGAAGAAAAATGTTGATAGAGTTGAAGATAGGCGCTGATATGATTTACTTCTTTCTAATGGAACACAGATGTTAAGAGAATACGTCTGTGTGTGTGTGTGTGTGTGTTTTCGTCTTCGAAGTACATCTTCTGTTTAAATAACGAGAAAAAAAATTAACATCCTGGCATGTCTTCAGTATCGTCCAAATGGCTACACCCGCACTATTAAATTCATAATGTCCAATTATACTCAATTTGAGTTATTTTTAATCATTTCTATAGAACGCCACTGCTCCTATTCACAATACGTTAATTTAACTAAACAATAGACTTAAATAATTCAATTCAAGGAAATATGTTAAATTGCACTGAAATTTGGTTTATATCATTTATTAAGTGCATACGTTAATATATGGACATTTATTTATTTTGTAATTAACCACAGAGTAGATTTACATTTTGGCATACATTATAAACGGAAGTTAAAAATAACAAAATGTTATTTAACTCAAGTGATTGAATTGCTCTTTTATTAATATTTAACAGTATACACTTGTGGCTGTTTATAATATTCGTATTTCGAGATGTACATGCACATTAAGCGAATACTCGGTAATATTTGACATCACACAATTATCCTCTTTTGAGTTGAGGACCGAAGTTGTTTAAATGAAACTTACGTATGTTGATAGGAGTTTCTCAAATTAATATTTGATCCGGTTTATATTAATATCAAATAATATCGAATTATCAATATTATTAAAGTTTATGATTGATTAATAATAGGAATAATAAAACAAATTTTGCACATACAGCTTATAAATTGTAATTTAAACTGCAACAAATCAATGAAACGGCTTGCCATTGTTTCGCGTCCGACTGGGCTATTACTACTGCGCCGCTACATTCGTCTGACCCGCATCGCGTTTTTACTACTGGCTGAATATACGCGGTCCATGCTATTCGCCTTTCCTTTATTCTCCATGTGCAATATTTATTATTGTACGAAACTCTAGCTTTCTCTTCCCAGCTGTTTTATAACTTGAACATCTTGTGATATACAAATCTTCTACGGAAGATAGTGAGATTTTTGTGGAGTTAAAAAACATAAATCTTATCGTCAATGTTCCGTGTTTTATGCAATCAAATCAAATTTTTTCTTAACGCGTCGAACGGAATTTAGAATTTTTTTAAAATCCGTATATAATTATGTAATGCGAATGAAGTAAATGTTATCGAAATAACTTTTTAAAAAATCTTAATTGATTTTAATTAATTAAAATATAATTTATTAAAAATTTTAATTTCTATTTAAATATTCTGTATATTTTCTATTCTTTTTGAATAGAAAATGCTGAAGTAATTATATCGAAACGATATATTATAATAAATTATTTCATTAAGTATATACTTACTTAATCATTTAACGCGTTTTTGCAACATCGTTCAAATCTATGCATATTTAACTTATAATCACTGAAAAAATTAATTATGTCGTCATTATTTTTTCTGTTACACGATTGACGAGGACAAACAGACAGACGAGTTATAATGTATCGATTTTCTAGAAACGAACTGAGGTCGCACGCGCCATTGGTTATCAGTAATATCGACAGTTGCATTACGAACAGTCCGTCCATCGGGGATTCCAGGATATTGGATGCTGGATGTACGTTAGCGTTGTTGCATGATGCTGTTACGAATACCTTTCATCAATTAGCACCGATAGTAATATGCCAATAAATCGATGCTTTCTCGATTGCTCGCGCCTCGTCCATATGCCGTTTCCATTATTCCATTACTTCCGCGTGAGCTTCTCACTTCGTAAAGCCAGAGCCGGCTGTTGTTTACGTAATACATATAGATGTTATACTAGTGAATATGAAAAATAAGACCCGAGGCTATAAATTAGAATAAGCATCCGACAATATTAAAATATGAATGAGTTCTCTCAGTTTCTTGGAGTGAAATCTCATTCTAAAAGAGTGAAAATACAACTACTTTTTTACAAGAGTGAAAATATTTTACTTCTTGAAAGAGAGAGACATTTTCATTTTCTTGTTTAGTAAAATTTGACTCCAAAGAAAACTAAAAATGTTTTTTGAATGAAAATTGTCATTCTTTTTTAAAAAGTGAAATATTTTCCAAAAATGATTATATTTTCATTGTCTTGAAATGAAATTTCTCTCCAAGAAATTTAAAGAGAGACGTAATATTGTTATTTTAAAGATTTTCATATTAAGATATTTTATTTTGTGCAAATTAATTAATCAAATTTGAAACGAATTTGAATGTAATTGAGACATGTCACAGCAAAACTGTTGTAAATGTCAAATTGTGAAAATGCGTTTTATTATACATGGATTGAAAATGCTGTGTTCGATCATATATCAATATTTGATGTGGAAAGTGCTGCTATAAACGGAGAAAAATGGGTAATTCAAAATGTTGTAAATCATTTTGTATAATTAGCATTTTTTTTGGATTTATAATTTTTGATAGTCTATAAGAAAATCAGTTTTTTTTTCTTCTAAAAAGTTAAAAAATGGCACTTAAACGTTTTGCTGTGACACGTCTGTTAAAATATGTAATCAACGTTGAAAATTAAGAATTTAGCAAATAATAACCATCTACAAAGTCTCCGCTGAAGAAAAATGGACTTTTTTCACGGAGAAAGATATTTAGAAAAATATTCAGTAATTTTTTACCGTATTTACAAATACATATAAAATACACAAAAATTATTTAATTATACTTTCTATAAATTTTAACGTAACCACAGAGATTTTTATCCGAGAAAATGCTCGATTTTGAACGAAGTTGAATTTAATTATCAAAATGGTTAACGTCGGAAATTAAAAATTAAATAAATGATAACCATTTATGAAATCTCCACCGAGAAATTGAGTCTAAATTTCGCGAAGAATTTAGGAAGATATTCATAGTGATAAGACCATATTCAGAGAGGTATAGCGCGTTATTTAATTATCATTTATTATCATTAATTGTGTATGTGTGAACATACAAATTCCGTGATGTAATTATAACAGAGAATTTCCCATCATGGAAAATGAGCGATATAATACGGAGCGTGTTCGAGAACTTGCTTTTCTCATGAACGCGTTTTCCGTTAGCTCTCTCGCTTTCCCTGTATACCCTCGACGTTACAAAGAAGGGCACGGAGTGTTGTATTTTATACGCGGGGAGATATAATTAATCCCGCGACGGTCTATGGGATTGTTATTAATAGCGCTTCCTTACTTCCTGTTTCAGGGCTTCTTCAGAAGGAGCATACAGAAGCAGATAGAGTACAGGTGCTTGAGGGACGGCAAGTGTCTTGTCATCAGATTAAATCGGAACCGTTGCCAGTACTGCAGATTCAAGAAGTGCCTAGCCGTCGGCATGTCCAGAGACTGTAAGTACCGTGTTCGCGCTACGTTTAATCATTTTTACACTTCGTCTAGTCTAGACAGTCGGCAAATTCCGAAACGTATCAATATCGAGGAAACTACCGAGTAACATTATCAAATATTTAATCCATGACATACAAATTCTACAAAAAAAATTCCTTATAAAGAAATTGATAACCCATATTGCAGACATTTTCTAAAGGATTGAAGAAATAAATCTCTTTTCGATCTCTAATATCCTTATTTTATATAAAATATATCAAATAATTATACGAAATATATTGATATCAAGTGTTTAGAAAAAATTATTTAAAAACTTGTTGTAAAATAATAAACATCAGGTAAAAAATTATACGAGATGTAATAATGTATATTTTTTCTTTTTTCTTTATGATAGCAGAAAATTATATAAAATTTTTAAAACAGTTGATGTGAATTGTTTAAATTAATTTAAATATAGGTAACTGTACATAGACAGAGAGAAAGAGAGAAAATGTTAAAACATATCAAAAATTAAAAAATGTTTTGGCGATCTTGTGTTATTTGTCAGTTATATTTATATATACCGAGTATATGACAGGTCGGCTCTTTGATTCTTCGCGCGTGTGTCAGAAACGAGCTTACGAGTCCACGGCGCCGTTAGAAATTCAAACAGAATTCTACGAGATCGCAATTCTAGCCGTCAGTGATGCAAAATCTACTTGCCGCCCGTGTCGAGAGAGCAAAGTAAACCAAAGGGCAGGCGTGTACATAATTAAACGTCAGAGTTCCAGGGCGCAATACTGGTCTACGTGTACGACGTGCGAGCTGCGAGTACCGCTTCATCATCGTGTCACGTGTCGCAAACGAAATTGTAACGAACTCACGTAGATTCGCGTAGACTTGGGTGTAATAATCTAAAGGAACGCAAACGAGATGGCTTTCATTTAAATCCGCGGGACTCAACTTTCAGAAATGTTCAAACTTTTGACGTAAAATATCTTCGGATTACGGCGTTTAAATCAGGAGTCCATGAAACTAAAGTCTACCTGAAATTACTTGGACCGTGAGACTTTATTGTCTGTGTCCCTGAACCGTGATTCGCCAAAGATCTCCATTTCTAATCGGGCACAGTCAAAAAAACTATATTCGCTTATTGGCATTTGCACGAAAAAAACATTTCAATTTTTAAAAAGAAACATTATTAAGTATTAAAAGAACAATGGTAACCCAGTCTCTCGAGTTAAATAACATTCTATTATTTTAACTTCCATATATGTCAAAATGTCCATCAATCCGTTTCTGTGGTTAATTTCAACGTAAACACGTCCGTATTAATACATATATATATATGCGCTTAATAAATGATAAACTAAATTTGAGTCAAATTTAATACATTTTTTTTTTTTTTCAGTTAAATAATAATTTAACTCTAACGTTTTAGTTAAATTAACGACATCTGAGTAGAAGCAATGACAATATATAGAAATGATAAAAAATAATTCAACTTTATGAATTTAAAAAACCAAAAGTAAGATAATCAAATTCTCAAAATGACTAAAAAAACAAGAAAACGAATTATGATAAATCGAACGGTAAATAAAATTCAGAATAATATTACATTTTTAACAATAAAACTATCTTGGCCGTGACAAGAGAAATGAGCTGTTGTGTCAAATTTGAACTCTCTCTCTCTCTCTCTCTCTCTCTCTCTCTTTCATTATGGATTTAACAGAGAAGATTACCTTCACCTTATTATCATATAAAAGCACATCTCAGTGTGATAACATTTTGGAAAGTTTACTTAAGGATTACTTGTTTGAGAATAAAAGATTTTTACGTTCTTACGTTGAAAAAATATTCGCAAAAATATCTTCAATTTTATCGAAGCTTTTATTTACAAAAATCAATATTAGCGAGGACCGCCGCAAGGAACGAAAAATATGTATGTAAATAATTCCATCAAATATCTCGAGATCTCCCCAGCGATCACATTGTGCTCGTCTCTTTGCAGCCGTGAGATACGGCAGGGTGCCGAAACGCTCGAGAGAACGTGGCCCTGAGGACACGATGGCGACAACCATGACGACGACGACGACGACGACGACGATGGCGGCTATGGAAATGCAGCAACTGACTACACCCGATACCGGCAACAACAATGCCAGTAACAAGAACAACAATAACAACAACAATAACAACAACAATAACAATAACAATAACACCCAGAGCCAGAACGCGATCTCACGGGTACCGTCGGCGGCGGTGGTCGAGGCTGATCAATCAGACGCTGACGTGAAGCAACTGGCTGTATACGATGTGATTCATCAGGTGTCGCAAGCTCATCACGCTCATTGCGGCTTTACGGAAGAGTCCACCAGAGGCCTCACGAGGAAACCTATGATAATACCGGTGAGCCATTAGAAAATTAAAAAGGAAACTAATCCGTTGCGATCTAAAACGTCGCCGCTTTAAATCAGTAGTCATATAACAGTAATTAAACACAATAATAATAAAATAATAATTAAATATAATAATAATTAAACAGTAATAAATAAAAATTTACCCAGAAATGTCCAAAACAAATAAGCAAAGAAAGTTATTATATTCGGTCAATCACAGATCTTGGTGCACATATAATAGATAATAATTAATTTGAGTAAAATAAAAATCTATATACGTTTTGTTTAACAATAAAGATTTTTTCCAAATCGATTGAAAGAATGAAAAAGGTATTACAACTTTGCGATATACTATAATAATATCTCATTGTCTTTTCGACAGAATAGAATTAGTTTAATTTTTCATTATGCATTAGCGCGATGACTTCCCGCTGGAAGTGGTAGCAAACTCGCAGGTTTGTTTGTAATCTTGCTGATTAGGCGAGTAATTCTTCGCAGCCCGCAAGCCCGGAAGATCCAGAAGCGGCGTCCTCAACCGCGGAGACGGTCGAGTCACAGAGGATCTGGTTGTGGCAGCAATTTGCCACTAGAGTGACACCGTCGGTACAGAGGGTGGTGGAGTTCGCAAAACGCATGCCAGGATTCTGCGAGCTCTCGCAAGACGACCAACTGATCCTGATCAAAGTCGGCTTCTTCGAGGTGTGGCTTTGCCACATTTCCAAAATGACCACCGACAATTCGATGACTTTTGAAGATGGCACTTACTTCACCCGCCAGCAACTGGAACTGATGTACGAGGTGAGATTTAATGCTATCAATACAATTTAACTTACACTAATTTTATCTTGAACAAAGTAACAGCCTTATAATTGTCCCTTCAAGCTTCAATGAAATTCATACCTTTGAATTTCTGGATTTCTGATTCGTTTTTTTACATATTTTATATAAAATCAACTACTTTTACTCTATCAAGAAATAAGTTGAAAATCAAATATAAATTTAGGCGGGGTTTCTGCGTTTTCAGTTCTGTCTTTTCCTTACAGAAATCCAATTTAGTACTAACCAATTTAACACTTCGGTGTCATAACATGGGAATGACACACTTGGGTATAGCGTACCCAACCCGATTCAATTGCTTATAGATTACTTTTAAAAATGAACATATCGTGAAATTTTTTTTCCAATTGAAACGCCATGCTTTAAGGAACATATCAAGTAAATGTACGTGTTTGTTTTTATTAATAAAAAGTTATAAATAATGGAGAAAGCATTAGAAAAAGAAAACCAACTATGTCATATCTAGAGTGATGTCGAAGAGTTAATATTGAAAGAGAGATAGTGATTAATTATTTATTTTGGATATTATAAAAGTGCTGAGCAACAGTATCTTTATAGTATTTGAACTAAGTATAATATTAATTACTATACTTTCCAGTATTAAATTTCTGTAAAGATTATTATTGTATTATATGATCGTTGTTTTATTGCATCATTTACAGCCCGATTTCGTGACTGCACTGATGCAAGTCACGTCGTCGTTAAATGCCCACCAACTGACGGACACCGAGATGGGCCTGTTCTCGGCAGCGGTGCTGCTGAACGAGCGACCGGGATTGAACGATGTTAAGGCCGTTCAAAGGCTGCAGGATCGCGTCCTGGAGGCATTGAGGGTGCAGACAACACGACCCTCCGGTGAAGGTGCTGGCGGCACAGCGATCACCAATGTCTCGCAAAGGATACCCGAATTGAGAGGGCTTGGCGCCAGACATGCCAATCTCTTAGATTGGTTCCGCAGGAACTGGACGAAGCTCAAATTACCGCCGCTATTCGCCGAGATATTCGACATTCCCAAATGCGAAGAGGATTTGCAATGAAAAGGTAATCTTCAACGATCATAAATTAATAGAGACCGGTTGTGTGAAATGAAAGGGAGAAAGTGAATTTTCATTTGTATTTAGCGAGACAAACGCTTTATAAAGATACGAAAGCATTCGCTTACGCTCGAAGCATTCGTTTTAATGAACAGAATGTCGGCAATAACACCGTAAAAAAGATACGAACAATGAGAAGCGCGAATTCTGTATACGGCTGCATAATCGATAACTGTCCTGACTGCAATGACATTTACAAACGAATGCTTCAAAAGGGTATTCATACGAAGTACGGGATATGTTTACGCTTTATGGTTTAACTTTTGCACACGTGCTTGCTTTTATATTCTCTGAAAACTCTTATTTCACTTTTATTCGTATTATCCAACGTAATTCCAATTTTTCTCGTTTCTCATTTGCTCATTTGATAATTTGATGCTTTTAATAATTCGATGCAACACGAATAAATTCTGTAAATGTTTGATTTTCCGTTATTTGTATCCTGCTCGTGATATTATGAAATATAACAGTGCGAAATCGGCACGAATTTTTATAATAATCCAATATAGTAGTATATAATGCAGTTTTAATTATCTTAATGCAACGTTGCGTTAAACAATTTAAAATTAAATTAACAAGTCTATGGATTTTTCGCGAATGATGTCTGCTCTCACGGTTTTAATAGACTGTACAGATATTAGTCTAATGTGTTTTATTATTGTTTAATTATTTAGACAAATTAAATTCTGAATTACTTCATTTAATTTATCCAATCTTATAAGCTCTTGAATTGCCGAATACAGCGAAATGTCCTTTGTTTAGCAGCCTCTGTAAGCTACAGCGAGGTAATTCGAGACCAATGATGCCGTGGTGTCGGCGACAAACCGAGTCGCCCAGCGTTTACCAAGGCCGTTCTGAATATCTAGAGTCGTTTTAACTCGTAGAGTTAGCGAAATACATCGTAACACGATGACAAGATCCAAATTGCATGAAGAACGGACGGTTGAAACGAGAAATGAAGCATATCTGTGAAGATTGTTCATCGCAAGCGATATTAGAAAATTAGAGAGAAAAGAAAAGCAAAGACGCGATTGTTGACGACTATCGTTGATGGCGATTCCCATTGATTTGTCTCAGTTATTCATAAGTCATTGTAAAAGGAATTTTGATCGAAGAATCGCGAAAGGAATTTGCCGCATTAGAAAAAATTAAAAGAAAGGAGAAAATTATAACGCAAGTGTTGATTATCTGAACAGCGAGATCGCGCAGCGGACAGTAGCGTGAACTTCTAACGACGATCTTTTAGGGAACATCCCCTAAAATGTTTTGATCGCTCCAGCGAATAACAGAAGATGATCTCAAGAAAGGAGAAGATTACCTTTAAAGAGTCGCGCAAGCAATAAGACGGAACTTCTCCGTATAAGCTCCGCGCAAGTTCGGAGGAAAATTTGCAATTTGCTCAAATTCAACAGAAACGGCTTTGTACTATTCGCCAAGCAATAGCACACACGCGTTTACAGCAAGCGGATCTCCGAACGGGCGTATATTTGAATGAAATACTCAATCGCGACGAGGGAGGGATCTTTCGTGCCGCTTTGCCGCCGCGCCAAGTAAATGGCTGTTTTAATGAGCGTTGCAATAAGGAGACAAGCACAAAAAGCGTTATTGAGTCATGGACGTCCGTTCGTGCTCAAGATTCTGTCCTTTGAGTTTTCTTTCTGTTTCTTCAAATAATTCTAAGACTTAAGAATATATATGTATATAATAAATATATACAGCGTGCAGTACCCGTCTGAGCGGCTAGAACGGAAATCGGCCAAATGATAGCATCAGAAACACCAACTATATTCAACGGACATATCAGAAATTAAGATTACAAAGTGTTCCCTCATGTATTAAGCGTTGCTAAGCACGTACGTGTCTCTTTAGAGGTGTTGCGGCCAGCGTAATTGTGATCAGTTCGAATTTTAATGTTACAGACGCGTGAAAAGAATTAATTTCGATAAACGATATATTTCAGAATAAATAAGAGCGCTACACGCTTTTTTAAAATAAAAATTAAGTATGGCGTGTTTTTCCTATTATATACTTTACAATTATTCATAATAATATACAGTAATAATAAGACAACCCACATAAACAAGTTACCCACAGATTACTGTCCATTTGCTTGAAATTGTTTTGCTTTGTTTAAATGCCTTCTTTAAATGATTTCCGGTTTTGCCTGTTGATTGCCGATTTTTATTGCCACTAATAGCTATGAACAATTTGATAACAACACTCAGGCAACGGTTGCCCTTTTTCCAACAGATTGCAGCAGCTTTTATAGCATAAGGATGCTACAATATTTCCTCATTTGCGCAGGCAACATTGTCCGCGTAATATAAATACCTTTAATTTAAGTTGCCCTAAACAAAACTATTGTTCCGTTGACGGCAAAATGATTACAACTGAGGGGAAACTTGTGCCAAGCAACTGTTTCTTTCCTCATGCTAAGGAACGCTTGGCTATTTGGGAGAGTCTTAACCGTATATGTTAGTACATGTATAATAATACAAAAGATTAAAATGTCTACTGAATTGATATATAGTTTTGATTTCAGTTGCTAAATTCTTAGATTGCTAATTGGCCAGTCGAGATACATTTTTTGTGTTCTCTCAACATTAAAAATCGAGCTTGTCATTTTCGATTCTTGATTTGGTGCGACATCGGAGGCAATGGTGAACGATTATACGGCCGCGTAAATGTAACAAAACGCGCGTGCGATTGAGGATGAAACTCGCGCGCGATCTAAACGCGCATTCATATACGCATACAACAGCTAAGAGCTTACGTATGTAATATTAAGGGCGCATAGGCGCTGAGAGGGAGCGTATACAAATTTCATGCTGTAAGGCTCGAGAAATCTTTATAGGACGTATCTTCTTATAGACGCATCTGCTACGAATTTCAATCTATGCAATCTCTATTTTTATTACTCGACAAGTAGAATAGCGAATTATATCTCGATATACATATATATAATTATATAATATATATAATTATATATATATACAATTATATATATATCGTCGCGCGACGCTTCGGGAGGCTGTTCCGGGTGGAAACACGTAAGACAGAACCGGAACGCAAATGGCGATTCGGAATGAAGTTCCTCAATTAATCCACGCAGAATAATTTGCACGTTTACTCGTCGCGGCAAACCACGTGTCTGTGATCTGTAAATCGCGCCCCGAGAGAACGCGGCAACGAGTCCGGCACTTTGTACACAAAAATCTGCGAAATTCTACGCGACGCGTACCGGCGACGCACAGTCCGCGTATACACATATGACACACCCGACACACACGCAACATCCAGAGAACTCTGATGCCCGACTCCGCGATTCCGCGCGGAACGGTCCTGTGGCGAGTGCGACCAGCTCTTCAAACTTTAAACACTAATAAACTTTCTGACAATGACTAGCGTGTAATGTATAACAATATATATATATATATATATATATATAATCGCAGAGCGCGCGCGCGTCTGTGTGTGTGCGTGTGTGTATGTGTATGTGTGCGTGCACGTACTTGTGCACTTGTTTGTTTGTGTGTGCGACATGTGCGCGAGTGCATCGAAATACTCATCCGTGAATAAGAGAGCAAAAAGAAGTTTATTGATATAGATATCACTGTTTTATCTATATACGCCGGGCGTGCTTAAAATAACCCCGGGTTTATTATCGCTATCACTCAAATCGAAAGAGAAATCGAAGATACTGTCCTTGCGATATTAAGGGAAGGAAGGAAGAATTTCCAATCTTTATCACTCTATCTCTTTTTCTCGCTCTTTCTCACTCTTTCTAAGCGCTCACATCAAGTTGTGAATAAACATATCATACTTAATTAATATATTGGACAAAGAGGATATCATCGTTTAATATAATATAAATATATATACAAATATATATATATATATAGGAGAAATATATATATGTATATTACAAAGGAACATTATATTGAAGCTATATTGCAAAAAAAGAAGTAGCTGTTAATTAACGCGTTAATGTCGAGCGAATCGCAAGGTAGAACATATCGGTGATTACAACGCAACAATCACAATCACGTGGTAGTGTTCTCCCGCTTTTATATTCTAAACATCGTAATCGGACAGTGGAAGGTCTCTCGTGATTCAATATAAATCGAGCGTACGTGACTTGGCACTTATTGATCGTCATATTGTTTCCGCTTTCTATCCGATCATTGCCAAACGAGAAAAATGTCGATTAGAACTTCAGGGTTTCAGATAAAATTTCAAAAGAGGATAAATTGTAAAAATTGACAGCGACATCGACGTCCTTTGATTTGTTAAAATTAAAGAAATGGCACAATTTTCCATTTTCTTTGAGGAATTTGATGTCCGAAAAAGAAAACGAAGAAAATAAAGAAAACGAAAGAAAAAAGCTAAGGAAAAAGAAAAAAAGATGAAAGTTCTCTAAGTACTAATAATTTTTTATTATAATATATTATTATTATCTCACTGCAAATTAAAAATGAAAAAAGTAAGATTAAATGGTAAGTAAATAAATTTACCACTCTCTTCCGAGATCGACATTTTTCTCCCAGTTACGTCACGATCGTACTCTTCAAAATTTCTAGTCCCATGAAAATTATTCGCCGAGGTAGCAATCATGAATTGAAGAGGTGTTCTGGCAAATTTTGCTGGAGTATATAATTAAACGGCCAAATACATCATAGTAATAATATAGCGTAATATTGTATTATTATGATAAAAGCAAGATAATTCTCTATCTGTCTCTATCTCTTAGCGACGGCGCCGGTCAATCGTCCTTCGTCGTCCTTGCGCAGCGCCGATAGTGTTCCTTCGTGTTCTTGGCCGGTTGTTCGCGCGCGATGATGTTCCACTTTTAGGGATGTGTCCAGATCCCTTCACCCTGATCTCGCCCAGATCTTCTGTTCTGATCGCCGGCGATTCTTCGTTCTTCGACTTTTCGTAGCATAAACGCGACGATTGGCCGGTAATAAAGGAAAAAAACCATACGTGACATAAAAAACGGAATAATCGAGTTGACCTGTTTGAACGATAATTGAAGTCTCTGGAGAAATTTTTAGAATTCTTCATATAATTTTTCAGAATTTTTATATAAATTTCAGAAACTTTCATAAGAATTTTTGTATAATTTTATAATTTTGTAGAAAATTTCTTAATTTTTTTATCTGAATTAGAACATTTTAGGAATATTGAGAAAGTCTATAATTTTTTTCAAGATTTCTACATATATAAATTCTGAAATATTATATTTAACTCTGAAAAAGTTTAAAGTACTGTTTTAGAAATCTTCATACGTCTAAAATATAACAAATTCTTAAAAATATGAAAAACTTCATTAGAGATAGGAATTTTTCTTTAAGAAATAGATCGAATAAAAGCCGAACCGCAGACGTTTTGATAAGTAAATATTTATTTCCAATGTTATACAAGACTGAGTTGATCATCGAGAGGTTCAGAGTAGATCGAAATCATAGACATAGTCATCAACATATATATTTTCCATCAATATCTGCAGTTTGGTTTTTATTAGCTTTTTCTATTTTCATTTCATGTCGAAGAGCTTTTCATTTGTTTCTATTCTTTTGAACTTACTAAACCGACTTGAAGGGATACTCTTGTCTTTTTCTCTCGGTCGAAACGCGAGAAAGAAAAATAGAAAATTGAGGCTGTGAACACCTCCCTTTTTCCCTTTTTCTTTTTCATGTTTCAACCGAGACGGAAAATTCTTTTAGTCCTCTCTCTCTCCCTCTCTCTCCTCCTCCCCCTCTCTCTCTCTCCTCCTCCCCCCTCTCTCTCTCTTTCTTTCTTTCTTTCTCTCTCTCTCTCTTCAGCCCGTCCTCCTTCCGCTACCTCCTGGACTATCCTTAATTTGATCCTTCGTTTTGTCTCTTTTAAGTTTCGAGATTCGAGAATTCGGTCATGGTGCTATAATATCTGTATATGTACATATATACTTATACAAATCGTTGGTTAATCAATATCGTACAATTAATATTATTGCGGTTAAAATCCGATTATTATCGCTGTGCTCCTCCCACTGCTATTATCATTATCATCGATATGTTTATCATCATTAATACTACCATTATAAATATTATTACGATTATAATTATTATTGCTAAAGATATTATTATTATTATTGCTACATTGATTGTACTTATTAGTGATTATGATATCGACGTTATATATCATCAGCGACGCTATTCAAGTCAAGGGAAGGCAAACGTTAGAATGATAAGACGGTCCAGACGGTTTTTGAAATACTTCTATATATTCCGCCCGCAATTACTAA